CCCGGGAGATTGCAGCCAGCACTGCCCAGCTGGTGGCAGCCTCCAAGGTAGGAGCCTGACACCCTGGGAGGCTCCATCCCCAAGCAGACAGCATAGAGACTGCTCCCCTGCCTGTGGTTTGGGATGACCCTGGGGCACCGCGTGGTCACCCCGAAGCATGAGGCTGGTCGTCTGCTCGTGCTGTGGGGTGTAAGTGCAGCCCTCCTCGCTTCCCTGGCAGGTGAAGGCTGACAAAGACAGCGCCAACCTTTGCAAGCTCCAACAAGCCTCCCGGGGAGTCAACCAGGCAACGGCCAACGTGGTGGCATCCACCAAGGCCGGGAAGTCGCAGGTGGAGGAGAAAGGTAAGCATGGGGCTGCAGGAACCCCGAAACCTCTGCTCTTCATGCTTACTGTCTTCAGTTGGCTCTGCCCCGGTGGCCACTGCCTATGGCTGCTCCTTGCTGCCTGCTGGTTCCATGGGAGTTGCTGGGGGTCTGAGCTGGGGAATGGAGTTGAGGGGGGCTGGTGGTGTCTTTCTCCGCAGACAGCATGGACTTCTCCAGCATGACGCTCACCCAGATCAAGCGTCAGGAGATGGACTCACAGGTAGGAAGTTCCCCTGTGTTTTGGGAAACATGCATGGTGGGTGGGGGCACCCCAGGTGGCACCAGTTGGTGGGGAAAGACCAAGGTGTGAAGATAACTGAAGGATTTGCCGAGGAGCTGCATGCAGTTGGTCCTTGAGCCTTCCTCGATGCTGTCCCCATCATGGTGCAACAGCCCATGACCTCCCCCCTGCCCCCCTGTGTGCCTGTCCATCTGCCCCACAGCACCCACCTCCACCTGGCACAGGGCAACCCAGGGCGTTCCCCTGCCCCAGGTGCCCATATAGGTCCCTCTGCCTTCACCTGCTTGCAGAGGCAGAGCCCACCTGAGCTCAGTCCCCTCCCAAGGCCATCGGAGCACTCATGGGATGTACCTCAGTGGTCTCTGGGCTCGATGTCAGGGAGATAACGGGTGTGAGAGGGGGGTGCGGGGTCCAGTACAGCTCCATGGCAGCACCTGGGTGCTGTGCTGGGGTGCAGGGTGGCCATGGCATGCATGATGTCCTTCAGGTGCGGGTGCTGGAGCTGGAAAACCAGCTGCAGAAAGAGCGGCAGAAGCTGGGGGAGCTGCGCAAGAAGCACTACGAGTTGGCAGGAGTGGCAGAGGGCTGGGAGGAGGATGGTGAGTGCATCCCAGTCCTACTCCAGCCAGGAAGCTGCACCGGGAGTGAGTGGGGCGGGGTGGGGAAGCCCTGCCTGCAGTCCAGGCAGCACATGGGGACGGGTTTCACTCTGGCTGGCACAAGTGGATCCCAGGTATAGTCAACACACGTGGGCAAAACCACAGGGCTCCTGACCTGTGCCTGTGGTGCCCACATCACCCCTGGGCAGGGTGCACGGGCGCTGCTGGGGCTCTGCTGTCCTGCAAAGTCCTGAGGTCCCAGGGTGCTGGGGTGGCAGGGTGCTGGGGGGTACCGCATTTCTCTGCACCCTCTGACCCTCTCCCTCCTCCAGCTGCAGAGTAATGCCCGCGGCAGAAGCAGCCCGCAGGGGACACCCCCACGGCGGGCTGGGCCCCAGCTCAGTGCAGCCTTTTGGGAAGATACACATTAAACCGGTGCAAAAGCCACTCCGAAGCACACGTCCTCCGCGTCCCCCCCGCCAAGAGCTGCCTCCAGTGCCGCAGCACCAAGAGCCACCTGGCGAGACCCTGGGGCTGGGAGCGAGGCCTCACCGGCCGGACACCAGCCACAAACCACACGTGTATTTATTAGAGCTGCTTGGGGTTGGGGGGGTCTCCGGGAGGGGGGTCTTTAACACTTTAGTTTTGTTTTTGCACAGATTTTCGGAACTCTTTGAGCCGGCTCTGGCTGAGCGAGAACGGTCAGGTTTCTTTTGCCTCTCGCTGCTTCTTCAGCCTTAACCCGGTCCCTGGCTCGGCGCAAACACCCCTCCCTGCGAAGGAGCCTGCCGCGGTGCCGAGGGCCCCGGGGGTGCCGCCGGGTTGGGAGCCAGCTTTTGGGGTGCTGCTGGGCTTGGTGCTAGGTGTGCTCCCCCCTCCTGGAGGGGCACCGAGTGCCTTTGGCTGCTGCAGGGTTGGGGGAAGCCTTCCCGTGGGACAATGCAGCCGGTGACACTGGGGTGCCAGCAGCAGCACTGGGAGCAGCCAGTAGTGAGGAGGGAGTGGGGCGGGTGGCAGGAGGGATACCATGAGCTCCTGACCCCCATCCCAGGTCCCAAAATACCCCCCATCCCTGGAGCTGGGCTGCCCTGCCCCAAAAGATCACTGTGTTCATGCCAGCAATAAATCCTCCACAAGGTGCTGGGTGTGGGTTTGGGCAACTGTGGTGCCACCGCATAAGCCACCAGCTCCTGGGGACAGGGGTGGCTCTAGGGCAGCAGCACAGAGGGTTTTGGGGGGCAGCTGGGGTGCCCTAAAACCACAGCACCCCAAAGCTAGAGCAAGCAGCTCCTTGTGCCTGCTCACTCCAGGCTGGTGTCACCCATGTGTCCTCGCCACCCTCTTTGGTGCACGGGGGATTGGTGCTGGCATTGCCATGGGCAAGGGTGGCCATGGGGCTGGCACTGGCCAGGGAACCTTTGTGCCTTGGAGCAGGGGGCTCGGAGGGCAGGGGGGTGTCTGCCAGTTCTGGGCTCCCTGGCTCATCTTGCTGCAGTGGGGACAGTGGTGTCAGACCGCACAGTGATGTCCCCGTCCCCAACAGCCACCCCCATGGTCCTGCTGGTGCCCCTTGCAGGATCAGGGTGTCCGTCCCAGCCCGGCAGCATCACTGCCTGCACCCTGCCTTCAGGCTGCCACTTCCTGAGGGGGAAGACAGCCAGACCAGCCTCCCCAGTGCTGGGGGTGCAGGATTTGGCCTTTCTCCCTTTAGGAAGTGGTGGCATCGCCCAGAGACGCTGGGCTGTCACCGCGTGCTTTCCCAGTGACGTCGGTTTGGCCTTGGCTGGCACTCGGAGCAGGGGGACCCGCCTGCATCCGCCTGTCCCACTGGCACATCACCGTGGCCTCATGGCTGCCACCTCCGGTGCAACTGTCCACCATGCAGGGACTTGGTGTCCCTGCGCCCTCCAGCCAGCCCTGCTGCCAACACACCCACTCCGTGCCCCCAGCCTGCTGCGGGGACCTTGGGGCTGCCCCCCCTGGGGCTCCCACTGTCTCCCCACGCTGCGGCCGTACCCTGACCCGCGCTGGCTCCCCTCCAGATGCAATACCAACCATCCCCTTCCTGCAGGACATGGGGAGCCCCAAAACCCTCCCCACTCTTTTGAGCGGGGAGGATCTTGCCTGCACAGGGTACCCCCAACTACCTCAGGCCTCCAGGCTGGGTTGGGGCTGGCGGGGGGAGAGGGGATTGGGGTGGCAGTGGGGGCTCGGGGATGGCGGCGGCACCCCTTGGCCACTACTACTTTTTGTATCTCGGCCGGGTGCTGGCAGGGAGAAATGTTCCTCACGCAGTCCCTGGCACTGGCGGCTGCTGACAGGGCTGGCGGGGGGGCCCCTCTACTGCAGGTTGGGTTGATTTTTTTTTTTTTTTCATTGTATAATAATAATTACTATGTCGTGTGTTTTCGATTTTTCAATAAAGCCTTCAGCCCAGCCCTGCTGGCTCCGGTGTGCATGGCAGGGGACATATGTTACCACAAGGGTCCTGGGACTCTGCCCTGGAGCTGTGTACCCCCAGAAAAATGGCTTGGGAAGATGCTGTCGAGGTGACCTGGGTGATATTGTGATGGTGATGTCCCCCTCCCAGCTCTGTCCCCAGGGCTGCCCTGCATGTCACCTCTGGTGTTCCTTGGGAGTGGCCCAGGGCCTCGTCACTGTTCAGCTCCAAGGGGCAGGGGTGGCTTTGGCCTTTCCACTGCCCCGATCCCTTCCTCGGGAGGTGACACTGCGGTGTGAGGGCCATGCAGAGCGCCCTGCCTTCCCCAGCTGTGCTGCAGGGTCACCATAGCAGGGGGATGGCATGGAGCTCCTGCTGCTGCGTGGCCCGTGGGGGCCATGGGCAGAGAGATGCTCAGGGCAGTGTCCCCTCCCAGGCATGATGCTGCAGCCAGGATGTCACCCTTGTGGGGTGCCCTCCCACTCTGGGCAGCACCCAGCCTCCCCCAGCCCTGCCAGGGCCATCTGGTCCCCCTGGGGTGCAGAAAGTCCCTTGGCAGCCTGTCCCCGCAGCCATAGTCTGTCCCCACGGCACGGTCCATGTCATCGTCTCTGCCATGGCTCCCTGCTCTGCAGGACACAGCAGGGCTGCAGAACCTGTGTCCCCATGTGCCATGGGGACAAAGTGGCACAGCCAGCCAGGGTCACCTTTCCATGGTCCCCAGCTCTGCAGAGGGTGGCTCGTCCACAGCCCTGCCCAGCAGAGCAGGCTGGTGGCAGGGGCAGCCCTCAGCCCAGGCAGAGGGACAGGGGCTGGCCGTGCCGGTGACCGGGGACAGGCAGGTGCCCGACAGTGCCCATGGGTGCCAGCAGCTTTGGGTCACACGTGAGTGGGGATGGGGTCAGGGTGGGGGACACAGAGGTGACTGTAGGGGGGGGACACAGAGGCTGGGAGGGTGCCAGGGGCTACAGTGACAGGATGGCTACGGGGATCGGGATGGCAAGGGGGACACTGGCTTTGGGGTGGGGATGGGGAAATGGCACTCTTTGGG